CATATGAATGCACACTGTAAGTTACTTTTTGGTGACTCAAAGGCAGGCGAGTCAAACCAATCGAGCCAACCATTTATTGAATTTCGAATGAGACGTGACTGCTGTCCCAAAAGATCTGATTTTGACAGCCATTGATAGACTTCTCCTGTACTAGCGGCACATTCACAGTCCTGCACCGAAGCAAGCGGGTGATAGTGTAATGTTTAGTACAAAAGGACATAAATATGAAACCATGATACTAGTGAACACGATTACGTTAATGTTGTTATAGCTATGAGTTCGTAGACTAGTGCATGCATAGATAATAATAGGGAAAACCTCGGGAATTTTTCGGAGCATTCACACCTACTATATGTTGTAGATATTCAATCACCATCTTTCAAATTTTGAGTCGCAGAGCTGACCGAGTTATATGAAAGAAAAAATAAATCTTTGGTATCTTCTGAAGTGCGATCTCTATATGTGCAAGAGTATTGTCGATGGAATCCTAAACAGCTAGCTTTTTTCTTGCTGCCATTTTGTTAAAAAAACTATAGTCAATGTATTTTTTCATCTAATGTATTTATTAGTGTCACCTCTCAGTTTAAATTCACAAAAAGTCGAAGTCCTCGGACTGGAATTAGAGATATAGCCAGCGCCATATTTTTTCTCGGTTTTTTTCTATTTCTCTGGTTTGTGACTTCCTGACATGTAAACCAAAATTAGTTACACGCTGTGTCGCCCCAAGATCCTAAATTCCGTGCGTGATTACCACACTCTGTCGCAATCGTTTTGAAGAAATACGACAATCGGAAAACCGATAAAATGATCCAGCATAATCAGATATACGTCTGCCAATGGCGGTCCCAGGATTTCGGACATGGGGAGGGACGACAAAAAATTTTTTCATGAAGAGCACTCCGAAAAAAATTTCTGGGGTGCTTCTCAAAATTTTTGCGGTCCCAACCCCTAAAATCTGGAAAAAGGGGGCGTAGCTGATGCCATGCCCCCGAAAAAGAATTTTTTTATAGGGCTAATTTGAATTTTTAAAAAATTTAAAAAATTGTTGGTACTTTTCCGTTATCCGGACCCATTTTTCCAAAAAGCTCTCATGAAATACGCTCTTCTGTTTGAGAACAATTTCTAATGGATTCCACGAGAACTGCCTCCCTGCCACGTGTCAGAAAATTGACACGTTTTGGTCCATTTTGAATTGTTTTTTTCGAAATCACTTCCGGTTAGGTAAAAGAGCATTTGTGATCACCTAAAAGCTGTCTGATTGTTTTGTATGAGAGCAAAACAATCTGAAATTTATATTAAAACATCGTGATCGCTTTCAGCAACGATTCAGCATTGTCGTTCTCTTCAAACCTTTCGTCTTGCGAATTTAGACAGACGAGACTATAAATGATGGCTTGAAGTTTCTGCTTGTTGTTTTGTATTGCTTGTTTTGTCATTTAGATTATGGGGTCCTAATCCACTTCTTTGCTCTGGGCAAGTCTAATCTGTTTAATCAATTACAGAATGACGTTAATATGATAACAATGCTCATTTTTGATACTGTTCAATCTAAAATGGGGCCACTATTGACTTAATTGAACTTGCGCTAGGTAGGACAACTTAAACTCCTGGTTAAACCTGTTAAACATGGAAATGACATGTTCAGTTTTTTTGACACGTGGTAGAAGGTTGACAATCCTTCCTATGAAGTAGGGACCAAATATGGTAGAAAAGAAGAAAGAAAGAAAGAAGCAATATGCTTCTTTGAAAAAATGGGTCCGGGTGATGGAAAAGTACCAAATTATTTTAGTTGTTTACAAAGGTAAACAAGTCACTCGCACATTTTTTATAACCCATCTAAGTAAATTTGAAAAATTTTCGACCCATTCTCGAGGGTGGGGGGTGTCCCACCCCTCGTCCGCCACTGACGTCTGGCGATCTCGACTGAGTCGTAATACTAACTCCTGACCATGAAGTCGGATTGTTTTTAGGTAAAAAATTGTCGAGTCGAACGTCTCCTTCTTTTATTATTCTCAGCTTCGAAGTGTTAGTTACCCACAACTCTCAGTTTCATTCTTTCCGGATAGAAATGGTTATTAGAAGGAATAAAAGTGTCATGTTGTCATGTTTAAATGAGGCAACCATCATCACTTACAGAATCGCGATTTTCTAGTAAAGCAGTTTTCTTTTATCTATCGTCGTTCTGTGCTCTGTTCAGGGCCCGGCACAAATCCGTTTCTAGATTTTTTGAGAACGAAGTCCCCCCTGACTTGCAAAAATTTTACGAAGTCCCCTTTGACACTACCCCCCCCCCGTCTCTCCGTCCTCCGACTATCAAAAGTTCAAAAGCCGGATTGGTCTGTCCCTTCCACTACAACGAAAAATTACCTCTCGAAATTTTTTAGGTGTTTTTGTAGACCCCAGGTTGTTATATTTCAAGAGTCGCAAGATATGTTTACTCAAAATTACGAACTTTTTGAGAAATAGATTGTCTGAATCATTTATTGCCAAGGATGGAAGAACCAGTAACATTATTATCAAGGATGAAAAAACCAACAGCAAAACAGCTTGAAGACTGCAATCCTTACTTTTTTGATCAGTCTCGATCGTTAATATTTCTACTATCTCAGTATAAGACGTTACTGTTGAAAAAGTCATCATCTCCTTCTAGTTATGTCGAACTGACCGTTTAGTAAATAACTATATATACTTGATTTGGATGTTGTTCCAACAAGAAAAAAAGACATTACACTAAAGGGTCAGAATTCTTGTTGGAACAACATTGTCATAATTCAAGCACATATATTCATTTGCTAAACATCGTTAGTTCGACATCACTAGGACGCAATTACTAGAAGACGCAAACAGTATTTATACCGTTGGTCATAAAGAAAGCTGAGGACCCCACATGGGGTACACAAATTCGGAAACATATTGAAACAATAAAAAATCAAAGAAATAAAGAAACCAGAAATTGGATAAAAAATGACAACTCGCACTTTACTCATTCATAATATCACGGAGCAAAACTTCTACAATGTATCTGCTAAGGAGATGCAGTGGAAGGGAATCGAGAGAAGAGTCAAGCATTTAAAGAAGTTATTTAAATGACAATGAGTTTGAATTCGAACTGAAACTACCTTCTCTTTTTCCGTCAAGTTTTTGCAACGAAATGGATAGCCTTCTTAAAAGAAAAGTTTGAGTCTTGCAAGTTCAGCCAAGAGTGCAAAAGAGCAGCAAGTATCTGAACAGAATCATGTAGAAAATACGTCGAGTTCAATGCTCAACAGATAATACTACCTTCTCAACTTCCTCGTCAACTGTGAGATGACATCCTGCCTTATCTGGTCAGATACTTTGTCAGGATAGCCAGAAATACTGCTTTGTCATCGGCATCACTAAATTCACCATACTAAAAGGGCTTCAAGAAACTCCTGAAACATGCACTCACCTGACCGTGTGCCTTTCAAACAGCATTATCCAAGCTCTACTGACTCTGACACTACCAGCGTTTGTTGAAATGGCGCAGACTATCTAAAATTCTTTAAATGGTAAAGCAAACCATACACTTTGTATAAATCTGACCGATATTGCGGAAGAATGGAAAAAGTAGTCAAAATTGTAAGAGATGAAGCTGAAACGAAACTAAAAATTCAAAGGGATAGGACGCAGAAATTTGACGATAGAGCGCGATATCTAACAACGCAAGTTCCGAAAGAAAAAAGGGCAAAAAACAGTATGCAGGGGGTGATATGAAAATGTTTCTATGCATAGGGATAGATTTTTGACCGGAGAATCTGTCCATGCTAAAAAGATCCAAAACTTATGTGAAGTGACAAAAATATATGCTCAAGACGATCTCAGATCGTCTGGTGGCCGTCTGGAGACGATCTAAATTTGGAAAAGGTACTACTTCACATAAGTTTTTAAATCTTTTTACATAATTCTTCCGGAAATAATTTTCTATAGATACAGTTCAATTTTGGTGTCATTAGATTCCGTGTCCCCTGTAAACAAGCGATTTGTTTATTTTAGCCTTGCTTTCAAATCGCGCGCACTTTTTGCCATACACGATAGAGCATGTCAATCGTGTGATAACCTGTTCGAAAAGCTTGTGTTTGACTAAATGGCGCTTATACTTGGTGTTTGGCCCCGATTCGTCAAAAACGATATCCCCTTTGCTTTTTGCTCCAAAAACGAAGTCCAGCCTGCTTCTAGACGATCTGTGCCGGGCCCTGGCTCTGTTCTTTATTTTAGTGCGTAGCAAAAGTCATTGAGTTATATAAGACGTGAACTAAAACCCAATTTATTTCTTTTCTTCTGCTTTATGTACAGTGGAAACAATGTCGTTCAAAAAAATCAGAGATTAGGCCGGACAAACGGTTTCTGGTCCTGAATGTGAATACAAATGACTCTTTTTACAACAGATAGAACACATTTTTTGCCAAAGCAATAATTACTTTATCTGCAACTATCCACACTTAAGAATCGTTTAATACATATCCGAATCGTAGAAGTGCAATAAGACAATCTGACAAATAAAAATTTCAGTAAAAAGTGATGACATCACGACAATCCTGAACACCAAGTGACAAGCTTTTTGAATTTTTTATGCTTCATCGATAGCGATTTACCTTCACTCTTGGTTTAGTAGCGGTTGTGCAATTTTTATATTTTACAAACAGCGTGTACAAATTATTGTAAATTGTTCAAATTTGTTGAGGCACTCAAAATTAGCCTTTACTGAAAAGCAAAAGTTACGAGGTTACAAAGCGACCAAACAAATTGTTTTGCAACGACTCATATCAAGCGACTACGTAAGTGCACTATACATGGTACAGTACCTATTATTTACTTTTTTGTGTTTGCCAGACACAAGTTTCAAAAGGACACACTACTATTTGCAAAATTAGCCTCTATATTGGTAATGCATGTAATGATCAAGCCACCAAGTGCCCTACAAAGCTGATCTCACATATTTTGATGTTTTTTTTCAAGAATAAGGCAGCATATCACATTTATCACTCAGTTTTGCTGAGCGTCTGCGCTTTAACAAGGGCTGCGTATTTTCCGTCAGCTTCTATCAATTCCTCATGTGTCCCGTATTCGACAACAGAACCATTCTCAATATAGTAAATTCTGAAAGAATAATACTTCATAACACGTTCGTGGAGAAGGAAGCCACCTGTCGGCATCTCTGATTGTACTCAATCTGTGAGCAATAGCTATCGTCGTACGACCTTGGCTAGCCTCGTTTAGTGCAGATTGTATTATCTGAACATGTGCCAAACACTTCCGAATCTCGAACTCTTGCAAAGAAAACTTTACGAAACAGTGAGCAGATTAGAGACATACTTTTTCACTTTCTGTATCAAGAGCACTGGTAGCTTCGTCGAGCAACAAGAATTTTGGTTTACGAATCAACGCTCTAGCTATAGCTATTCGTTGCTTTTGCCCACCGGACAGATTACTTCCTTTCTCTCCAACGTCTGTGTCATAGCCCTAGATTTGTTTTTTGAATTGAAGCACAAACATATTGAGTGCAGACTAGGACTTAGTCGTGATAAGTGCTCACCTCCGGAAGAGCTTCAATAAAATCTGCCGCATTTGCTTGCCTGCAAACACTACGAATTTCCTCTATGCCCACATCTTTCAGTCCTAAGGTGATATTTTCGCTGATTGTACCTGGGAGAACAGCAATTTTGTGAAAAAAATACTGAATTGTTTGATTATACCTCTAAACAGTACTGGCTCCTGGCCGACCAGGCCTATACTATTCCGCAAGTGAGCACGGTCTATCTTTTCTATATTGATGTCATCCACTTTCTAGAATCATTCTATACAAAAATTACATTCGGGATAAAAGCGACGCTTAGAAGAAGGAGACATAAAAATTATGATGAAACATAACAGCATTATTATCATTCATACTAACTTATTAGAAATAAATGGGAATTCTGCGAGAGCTGGCTATATAAGCTGGCACGACAGCAATGAAAAAGTAAACGTCAAGATTGTCAACCTGTATCGAAAGGCTTTGATTCGACTTAGAAAGTCATCGCGCAAGTTGCTATAACTTGTCAACTTATGTTATGCTGAACTTACTATTAATCCACTATTAGGCGCATAAAACCTCTCAAGAAGTTGTACAACAGTGCTTTTCCCACAACCCGAAGCTCCCACCAGGGCTATAGTTTCTCCATCCCGAGCCGCGAGATTGAGATTTTTTGCCACCTGAAATTATGCTCAGTGAACATTTTGTATATTTTATCGTGTACACTATATCAGGCATACTTTTATCTCCGGTCGTGATGGATAGCAGAAGTTTACCTTCTCAAGCTTGACTGATCCCATGATTTCCTTGAAAAGAAAATGGTTTTGGCAAAAGAAACTAAAATGATCCATACAAAGTGAGCTGATGCCCCAAAACATGGATGAGTCTTGACATTCGAGATAGAAAAGACCACACAACAATGTTTACTCAAAGGCGATGTTATGAAAAAAAAGTTTAAACGCCTGCTCTGCACTAAACTAGACCAGTTAAACGTCAAGATCATTATAGCTCCAGTCAACGCACAAGAAAGCCTTACTTGCTTCGAACAAAATTTGACAAATCGATTATTAATTAAATTATTGAACCGATTATTAATTAAATTATTTTGATTAATCGCTAACTTCCTACCCCAAACCATTTGTACAAGCGGAACGTTTGCTTCGAAAATATGAAGTTTGAAAGCATGTCACACCCCAAAGTCTCTTAAAGCTTCATGGGACGTTCATACTCAAGCTAAAAATCACTCTGAACAAGTCAGTTGACAACAGCACATAGTTCATCGTCGAACTCATAGTGCAACACAGTCTCAACTGTGTTGAGACTGTGTTGCACTATGAGTTCGACGCTGAGGCCTCACGAAATGCTCGCTCGAGAATCGTTCTTTAGCTGTTGGCGCTTTTAGAAACTTTGAGCCTTTCCAGACGTTTTGTTGACTGCGAAACGTGACGAACTCATTATCTTTGAGCAGCCAGAACCAGTCTTGAGATCAAAAAATGACAAACACGACTAACTATCCAGTATGGATTTCTGTATTAAAGTAAAGGCCTTGAAGATAAAGTTTTAATTGAAGATAAGTTTTTCCACCTCTAAACACGAGCTACTTTGGAGAAAATTGAGAGGAAATATGGTCCCACAGCTATGGATCCAAGAAGGACTTCACACATGAAACAAAAAATCCGACTGCATCGTTTTCAAGAAAGTTCAAAATGTAGCGTGATCTGCTTATTGGTTTGCGTTTTTCGACTTCGAAGTGGTGGAAAAGATATCCAGCACTAATATTGAACTGTCTTGGTATATATACTCACGGTATCAGCTTCTCCACGATCTTCTCGGTAGCAGTCTCCAAGTGCATGCAATGTTTTTGCCGCAACATGTGATCGTGCGAAATCCCCAAATGCTTCAGATGCCAATATTACAGCCCAACCTGACATTGCCGCACTTGCTGCAGCGCTGAAAATACCATCATAAATGCACTCTCGCTTTATAGAGTGTCGCAAAAATATGCGCCCAGTGTTCGATTGCGAATAAGTTCTCCACTGAGGTCTTTAACGGACTTTATTGTGTCATTTTGCAGCGAAGCTTTCAACTCGATTTGTGTAGAGAACGATCCGACACTGATTGCTCTTTCTTATAAGGATTACGCTGGAACTTTTAGCATTTTCTGCCATTGTGAACTAGTTAGGAATTTGAAAAAATTCGATTTCTCCATCTGAGTTTACAAATCAGTAGAACTTAAGCAGAAACACCTTCTTAAAACAGATTATGGGAACAGATACTTACTTCTTAAACGAACGAGTACGTATGAACAAATTTGTTAGGCGCAAATCTTTATCATTCCGATTAGGTCTCTTTTCTGAGGTCTACCTTGGAGAAAAGTACGGTGATTTTAATCTGTTTTTGCTATATGTTGTGCTGCCCTGAGTGCTGAATTATGAGTGGTTTTTAAGTGGGAAAATGAAAGCAAAATTTAGATGATAGTCCAATCCTTCCAGCGTTCGAAATGGAAGAGTGTGGTATAGTCGGCAAAAAGAGTCTATTGCATGGACCCCTATCCATCGCTGGCTCACTTGATAGCCATGATTTGTTGCAGAAGCACGTTCTTTTGAGCTAAAAAAGCTCGAGGGGTCCAGAAAACGCACTTCACCGTAATAGCTAACCATATGACAAACCAAGTGTACCATAAGACGATAATCAGAAAGAAGGCATACCATTAAACTGTTCTATGAATCTATACAACACAATTTGTTGGAATTAGAGGGTTTCAAAACCCCACCAACAAGGTTTTGTCTCTGAAGTTCTGTTGATGGCAGCTCATCTCCCCTTTAAAAATCATTCACTGAGCTGAGAAGTTCCGTAAACTTTGCTAAAAAGAGATTATTGTTTTGTTATTGGTGCCAATTGAAATTAGCACCAGCGTGGTATCTGAAGATCTGCTAAGTCGTTCAGAAGAAAGTTATAAACATACCTTCGACAGTATAGAGACAGGGCGTCAAAAGTGAAGGTTGTTTGAACAGTTGCGCTCATAAAAAAAGTGAAGGTTGTTTATAGAAGATCAGAGGAGAAAAAAGTACGTAAAACGAATATAAAAAGCAAAAGAATCTGCTCAAAACCGAACAAAAACGCTGCAATGAGGCTTGAAATCTTCCATTTGGCGGCTTTTTAAAGTGCAAGTTTTCGCTTTAGGACCGGCAATTCGCAACACGGGGTTTTGATTTTTGATGCGTCCTTTGAACTTTTACCCCCTCATTGACGTTCCTGTTTTCTGGGACGTTGTCTGAATTGTTGCGCTTATTGTTTTGAGCAACCATCACCCAAGCTGGAAAAAAATTGATGCGAAAGCACTGAAACAGAACAAGGTAAACACTTTTTACGATTTTTCGCAAAAAAACCAAATAATCGAAGAGATAAAGGCTTGGTGGTTGTCTGCATTATGAATAGAAGCAAGATCTATAAAATGCACGAAAAAACCGCGTGAAAATAGCTAAACTAGGAGAAAAACAAGAGATTTTCGAAAACAAGATTTTTGCCGGATTTCTCGTTTAAATCAAAAAATATGGTTTTGGGACGTTGTCAGCGTAAAAATAGAGATCAAGAGCTTCAAAATGATATATAGCTTGCTGAAATTAGGTTCGAAACAGCGAAGAAAAGGGTACCAGAGCCAAATTCCCCGCGCCCCGCGTTTGGGGTAGCGAGTTAGCGCGCAGCGCGCGGAGACGCAGACGAGCAGCGGAGACAGACCAGAGCCGACGGGGCATTTGGCTCTGGTCGTAGATCTCCGTGGGGTCTTAACGAAACCCCGCAACATTATATATCATTCTGATCGCCATGACACGACGAGGAGAATTGACAACGTCCCAAGCTTTGAAAGTCACTGATCAATGAGATAGACCAGCGTTTTCGTGCGCGACTCTCTGCGCAAGATTTAAGAGCAGTTTCTCGTTCTTATTTAACTCCAATAGCTTTCCTAAACTTCCGAAAATCGATTTTGTTCAAATGAGAAATTAACTAAGAAATTTTGTTCTGAATTCTGGCAAAATCCTACAGAAACCTTTTTTAACGTAAAAAAAGGCTATAAAAACGCAAATTCTCGGTTTCGCTGAGATAAGCTAAAGATATTATTCCCTATATTTGCTTCATTAACATTCGTTCCGATATAACCAGGATAATAACATCCAGGGGCGAAGCCCCGGATGACTTCGGTTTTTTCCAGGTGAAGGTTGTGTCTCCTCATAGCCCACAAAATGAAGGTTACCAGAGTACGTGGCTCAATGTATCGAGGGTATGGTCATAAATGATTGGACTATCGTGAACGTTCTTGTGAAACTCTGCCTATTATCTATTATTCAGGCTGGCACCTAAGTGATGCAACTTTTTATGGAATGTGTCGCATTCATTTGGATTAGACTTTACTAGCTCGCAAACCCAGCTGCGCCAGCCCCTGTCGATAATATTCGTAATCAGCATGCTCACTTACCCCCTCTTCTGTGCCCTTAAACACTTGCTCAAACGTTAAATTGATAAAATCGATAACGATCGACAGCGGAAAGTAGCCTATGATACCCGCCCCGCCCCAAAATGTATGCATGTAAAGTAGTGAACTACAAACGCAACCATTTTTGCCGAATTCTGCCATGAAATGTGTTGCGGTGGATTTACATTAAGGCGGAAATTCTGCACACTGTTAAAACTATTTGGGAGGGGGGGGGGAAGGATAATCGACATGCTACAAAAATGATACTCGTTCCTTTGAAATGAAATTCTTTTGTAGGATAGAAAAATGATTACCCACCCTGACAAATGAAGGTGACGTTTAGTTGGAACAATTTAACTGAATATGATGTTCATTTGTGTCTATTTAACTCACGTGCAAGCCTTGACAATTTGCGTGGTTTTGCTCCTTAATTATCGGAAGTGTGCTTCTACAGTTGAAGACAACGAACTTCGACTTCTCAAAAGCGCTAGATCTCAACTTTTCGTCAATGTATTGGTCAAATTGCTAGGCCACATCCGAGGCTGGTGAATGCCTTACATTGAACTAACACTCCGGCTATCTCCCTGGATTAGAGCCTGACATGGATGTGAACACTTACCTAACTACGATCAAACATACCATCCTCCGAACAAAATTCGAAATTATCTTCCGTATAATAAGCAGATGGTCATACGCAGTACTAACCTTTCGATGGTCGGTGTTGCGGCCGTGTAAGTGATAATTCAAGGTGTCAAAAATAGTGCGTTTCATAACTATATGAACCCCTAAAAATATGCAAGTTCCGGATTTCTAGAAGAGATGGTGCACCTTTCAGTGCCAATGTGATCTACATTTGATTTTACATAACATGATATCGCGATCAGTATTTCGTCCACTTACTTAACTTGTATGCGCATGTCTACTCTTTCGCAATTTCACAACTATACGACACCCTTGAACACCATGCTTTTATCGACAAAAGGAAGCCAAAACATGGTTGTTTTGACTGACTGAGGCACTGGGCCCTTTTACCAACTCATCAAGTCTATTGGACGTGCTTCTAACAAAATCAGGAACGTCTTTGATTCGTTGTTGTCGCATGCGTCTATAGCATACAGCTTCGACTTCTCCAAAGCCTCATACTGGTAATGTCTGCATAAAAACACTGTGCCAGTGATCTCCGGAGAACTTTGAAGGATTTGGGAAGGATAGTATGGTGATCTTAACAGAAGCTGCTAATGATGCTGGCGCAAAACGACGTGATTGACCCGCCTGCATATTCACAGGCGCTGTGCTGTAAAACGTAGTGCTATTACAGACGCCCTTGAAATGAGAACATCCATTGTTTTTAGTACTTCTTCGCAACCTGCGCTCAAAAATTCTTATTGAAAATTGGTTATGGACCATGCAAAAATGCTCCCAAATTGAAGAATAAATCCGTTAGATATTCCCTTGCTAAAAGATGTGGACTTTGCACAAATCGGGGCAGTCGACCTTCAAACAGTCATAGTCGCCCAAATTAAATTTTTTCGATTAAGCTGCACCACTAGATCACTGGCTCATTTATTCTGCCGTCTTCTTAACAAAGCGTCTGTAACAGTAGCACGTTTCAGCAGCGCAGCGCATGTAAAGATGCACGCGGGTCAATTACCGTCGTTCTCCCCAGCATCAATAGCTTCTGTAAGATACCTGTCCCAAATCCTTTAGAAAAACTCTGAAGATTACTGGCACAGCGTTTCTTCTCAGATAATCCCCGGGGGCAGGCCGCCATGCGAATTTTGAGCAAGCGCGCACCGGAAAAATAGTTCGCTGATTTCTTGCGGTCCGCTTGCAGAAATGAATAATTTAAGCGAAATTTTAGACGAATGCTTGGAGAAAAGTCGCGGTTTCCTTATAAATTAGCTGCGGCGCAGTGGCCGCATTCTCGCGGACTTTCCGCGAGAATATGCAAAAATTTCGAGGGCCGCACGGTCCTTTGTGGAGGATCGCGCAACCCCCAGGTACTTTCCGCTGAGAGAAAGTACCTCAAACTTGATAATCATACCAACGGTGACACCTCTGCCACACAGAGTCTTACCTGTGCTCGACGTACACCCGAAAATGCGTAAAAAGAGTCCGAGCGCTTGCTGAAAGAAATTATTTGCCGAGTGCTTGCAAAAAATGCTGTGTTGCTGCCCGCTGGCAGAATATGCGACCGTAAAGAAAGTGCCGCCAGCTGAAGGTTTGGCCACGCCCCAAAATTCTGCTGACCGCCTGCAGAAAAGCGCGAGTTTGCGGACCGCCTGCCCCCGGCGATTATCTGAGTTTGCAGACACTAGCAACACGAGGTCTTGGAAAAGTTGAAGCCTACGTTATAGACGCAAGCGACAACATTGAACCAAAGACATGCATGAGATAGAAGCATGTTCACTAGACTTGACGATTCGATCAAAGGGTCAAGGGGCCGGTTGGTTGAACAACCTGTTTCTGCTCTTTTTGCCGATAAAAACATAGTGTTCGAGGGTGTCGCCTAGTTGCGAAACAGTGGAGAGTAGACATGTGCATACAAGCAAGTACCAAGTGGATCGAAATTCCGATTGCGATATCAGGTCATTTGTAATCGTGTAGATCACTTTAGCACTAACCATCTGCACCATCTTTTCTAGAAATCCGAGAACTGCATAATTCAGGAGGTATCGTATAGTTATGAATCTCACTGTAAATTAGATATCTATAAGTCCCACATATAGGCTTAGTGAGCATCTCTAGCCATACGACCTATATTCATCTTTTTGCGTTTGATTCAGATAGCGCACAGTCATTTTTGCCGAAGAAAATATGAAACTCCGAATTTGACCTCTTGAAAAAATGCGCAGTTTTTTCTTTTCTTTACCGAAATTCAAAAGTTTGCAGTTCTGTAGTTCATTTCGTGATCCACGTGATGCCAGAAGTTGGCGGCTTTATGTGAAGAAAGGTTATGGAAAAAGTTGCAAAATTTTTAAGCCAACAAACCATTCCCTCTGCCTCATTTGGAGTGAGACCAACAGAGGAGGCTCGGGTCCAGCGCAATCCAGGGCTGGGCTTGCTTTTCGTTCGCAGACCGGACTTCTCTGATCATTTTCCCACGCTTGACAAAAGCAGCACTTAGGCAAATCTGGGCACATGGGATGGCATATGGAACGTTTTTGGGGGCCTAACTAATAGGTAAGAAATTGCTCAAAAGGCAGCCCAAATGATGCAGTCATGGCTGAGATATTCATGCCCAAACTAGACCCGCTACCGTACTTAACGGACGACTTGGAACGGTTGCAGGTTTTGCGCGGGGACCCATAACGTGGGCGGAGGTCTCTTGCAACGACATGCAATCCCATGCACGTGCGCTGGTCGGAATCGGGTTGGGGGACGCGCATCTCAACCTTGAGTGCACCATCTGCGCGCTGCCTTTAACCATTGAAGCTCAACTTTGAGCCTTTTCTACGCTTGAGCTTGGTAAGATGGTAAGAGGACACGTTCAAGGTAGTGACAGACGAAACGACCTCCGAGGGACCGCGGCGTTGGGACGCCGAGCTCACTCGAAATAAGGCAGAGATTATGTAACACATACACCACTGCATCCACTGCTCTGATGCTTCCCAGGTATATCATTAGCGCGCCAAATCCATATGTCGTCACGGATGAAAAGTAGACGTAACTTTGAGTGAGAGCAAACTGCACTGCTTTATAGATGGCAGTCTTAAAGGTGATGTTTTTCGAAATTTTCGAATACCTCACAGAAACGTACCTTCTTTTCTTGGTTCCTCACATCATTTTGGCTAGCCTCAAATTTTTTCACAAAATAGTCCTCCGCAGCAAGCAGCTGAATTGTTTGTGCATGTTCAAATACTTCAATCGATTGCTAGAAGACCAATATTATAATTCTTGCATTAAATTTGATTCTCTTTTTTGGAATTTAAAACTCACCTCCGTTGTTTTATCCACTTCAGATTTCATCGCTATATTTCTTGAAACTAAACTTGCAGCAAGCCAAAGTGCAGCCGTGAATACCATAATCATGACAAAGTTAGCAATTCCACTAGGCCAACAAGCCACAAAAGCCAGCACGATGCAGGCAATAAGAGCGACAAGATTGTTCAGCATGAGCATGAATCGGTAATCCAGGCACTGTAAAAAACACTCCTCCCTGGCGGTGTGGTACATGTAGGACGCGATAGCGCAATGTGAAAATCGTTGATATAGACCAAGGCTTTTGCCTTCTTTGAAATAGTATGCCACATACGAGGTAGCATGTCACGGAATAGTATGCATGAGTTGGAACACCTTCTGTGACAACTTACTGCTTGCACATCTTGTGCTTTAGAGGTTAATTCGGCTACGCATGCAGCATTGCTCCTTTGCGGCTTATCGAAGAATTCTGCATCTTGACTCAAGAGACTTTTTAATACCGCAACACACATATCGGTCGTGACTACTTCACCTGTCCAACCACCAAAAGATATCTATAAAGAGTTATTCAGTGCATAAAAATTGAAAGATCATTCAGTGCATAAAAATTAAAAGATGCTTTCACCGAAGTGCTTATCAAAATCCATGAATACACTCCAAGAGCAATGAACACGGCAACTGCTGTCCACATAATTGGAACGTAGGTGTCCTCAACGTTCTTACGTAGTTCTTGTATTCTTTAAGCCAAAACTACCTTTGTTTCATCCAGTGCGCGATAGGTAAAACTGGAGAAGAGTGCCCAAAGCGGCATTTCCATACCTCGTAAAGCACCGGCTATAAGACATACCCAGAACACTGGACGCGAACGAATACTTGACCAATACACCCTCAATATTCCTCCACCCTTTTGACTGATCTAAAAAAACAAGTTATTATTGCCATGAATCGTAAGTTTGGGAAACTAGGTCTGCCAAAAGGATTGAATTTTAACATGCTAAGCAAGCTGTGGGTAGACTAAGATCGACTAAAGCAGCCCAGCATCAACATCAGCGTTGATACTGTGAGCTTTTTCTTCCCCTATGGGTCGTGCTCAACGTATATTTGGCACGTACGTATATCGGTATCAAGAAGTATAGAACCTTAACCTTTCCTGAAACAAGTCATGCTTACGAAACTTTTATTTATTTCGACAAAACCGTGGTATAAGCGCAGTGATTTATTCAATATTCTTCATGCAATCCGAGTTTACACAACAGTTGTAAAACCTAGGCAAAGATTCCAAAAATTGTGGACCGAAGCAAGCTTTACCCTGGAAATCTGCATCAAATATCGCACTTTTTTGAATTGTCTTTCACACAAAATGATAAAGGACTACGTAGTGAAGTAATCGTTAAAAAGCTTGAAAAGTCTTTTCATTCGGTATTTCACTTGTATAAGGACTACACATGCCATATGGCGTTCAAAAGTCTATTTGAATTCTCCAAAGAGGGCCCTTGGAGGACGCGGTAGAGAAGAAGATGCTGTTAGTATGATATGTAAAGATCATTTTATATGCAAGGATCACATTGTTGGTTGTTCACATGTAATCAGGAAAATTTTTATTAATTGTAAAAGAATCAGGCTGCCCCATTGGTGGATCCTCAATATACTGGGCTTATTGTCAATCCCATATGCTAATCCCTCGTGCAAGGCGAGATAAGCCTTGAATGCACAAAATCAGCATTTCATCAAGCAGTTGATCTCGATCAACGAAAGGGATGCGTCGTTATCAGGGCCGACGTAATGCCTTTGATGCCAGATCTTAGCCGTCTCAAGCTTTTTTCAAGAAATTTCCTGGATGAAGGTGCCAGTGGGACTTTATAGAAACCTCCATCCAAATTTTGTATTTTCAGGGTTCTCCATGTGGAAAAATATCGGGATGCGCAGGAGGAGGGCCGGCAACTTCGCGAGCTTAGTTGGACCTGCCGGAAGCTCGTTGAATTTGCGAGGTGGAAGCCGCCCGCAGTCAGAGAGCAGGGAAATCGCGTGCTCTTGTGAGAGAGCAAAGTGCCGGCATCTCGACGTGGTAGGGGCACGTTACGGCAGCTTGCTGGCGGCGTTTGTGAATTTGGGTAATGCGGAAATATCAGAAAGTTTTAAATCTCGTTTGCACCGATTTCGCCTCTATCTCGCTCATATCAAGCAGCTGTTCTTTCAGGTCAAAGCCGCTCACGCAGTGTATTGAACATGCCCTCTCCAGGCAGCCACTTACCTGCGCATTTCCCGCACTGCTGGTGCAACCGACAATCATTGACCAAATGGTCGAATGGTTAGTGCTGCTGCGATCGAAGTTAATGCATGCAGGTTCACGTACGCCGTACTGCAACTTTGCGGCTGTCTGCTAATCAAAATTTCATGTGCGGAGTGACTGCAGACTAAGGCCCACATGCACTGACATCCGTGCGGAGAGAGCGGCCTTTCCAGTGATGAAAAAGACGCAGCGGCGTCCGAACGCGACTTCTTCGACGGATGCCGCTTCCCTCGCCACGGGGCTTATGGTCCCAACATTATATAGAGTTATTAGAGCCTACGAAATCCGCGAGCTGCCGCCGAAGTTGCCAACTTCCCGCGATGCTTGCCAACTTGCGGGCATCTATGATGCCACCAGGCAGGGTAGATTACTACCCTGCCCAGAAGGCGGTAACAGCGCTTTTCCCACTTAATGCCAATCAAATAGTCAATATCTCTCTGCTTCTACAGAAATCATGTGCCAACCTCCCTGTCAAGTATTTCTACTGTATCGTCTATTTGTTGCACGGCTACCGACGTTAGCGATCGTCTGGACAGTGCACTAGCTCTTTCATCACGGCGAGCAAGAGAAGATATGCTGCAATTCCTGGTTAGATGACTATTGACTTTATACAAGTCACTTGCCGCGTACGCTCCGCCGTTACATCATCTGCAGGCCTTTTCCCACTAATGTCGACTCCCACTTCTTGTGCCTTTGCTAGTTTGCTGTACAGACCATTCTTTTCTAGCAACTCAAAATGAGTACCTAAAACAGTCATTCATTCATGGGCACGTGCTTTATGGAGTTTAAAAAAGTAGAATCTACCACCAAACTTAGTGACTTCTTGTAAAGTGAATTACAACAAGGTTTGTTTTTTCTGGCAGATTATGTTAACCCACCTTCCTCTGCTACTTTTCCTTCGCTGATTGCATAAATTCTTTTGACTTCTTTGAGTGTGCTCAACCGATGAGCAATCACAATGGTGGTTCTACCATGTGAAGCGTTGTTCAATGCTTGCTGAAATCAGTACTTCAAGTCAAATTTATTGCTCAGAGTGCCAACGAACAGGCACTGAAGTAGCAACTATTGCAAGCCGGTCATTAGGATGCGATATATAAGAAGTATATTGCTTACAAGAGGTCACGAGTCGAAACGGCAGATCACCACAAACTACGTACCATTAGTGGAAACTTGAAACACTGAGTGCAAATTTGCTTTCCCTAACTGCAGAAAGCCTTTGGGAAGGAAGTTATAAGCATTTTCCAAGTCGAAAAAAATAAACTAAATGCCGGGATAAAATAATCGTTGAAGCCTTTCTAGGCGTAAAATGGAGAAATAAAAAGTGCTGAGTAAAAAGTACTAGGCAGAAATCAATTGTATGAAGTATCCTGAAACTTGTCGCTGCTTCATTCATAATCTAGAAAGGCTGTAGCGATTGGTCTCATCCTAGCAATTAGTTTGATTCTCCACTCCACAGATGCTCATTTCTTATCCAAAAGCGCGCCATAGATAAGGACGGTGGTTCACACATTGCGCTGCACTAAAACTAGCTCACCGCTACTCAGAATGTTTGCATGCACAATTTCCATCCAGTGATGATGCTAGCATACCTACAAGGAGTGATTTGGTTGACAAAAAAGTATGTCAATGCTGTTCAATGATGTACATCCTTTCAGAAAGGAATAAAACAATCTTCTGTTCAGATGATCTTGAAATCTGCTCGGTGACATGTAATAACACACATAAACGCATCTTGATTGTCGGATTTCTCAAAATTAGCTTACCTGAACTACTTTCTCGCTTTCGGAGTCCAATGCGCTAGTAGCCTCATCAAGAAGCAGGATCTTCGGCTTGCTTGCTAGGGCACGCGCAATAGCTAAACGTTGTTTTTGTCCTCCTGACAAGGCAATTCCTCCTGCACCAATAACAGTGTCGTAGCCCTATAAAACTATTTTACAACGATTAACATTGCGATTGTTAGAATAACCACTAAGGAACTACAGAAAGCGCAGCGTCTTTGTTAACACTATAGTGACAAAGCCGGCTGAAATGAAAACACTGAACTGACAGAATTTTCCAGTCATTCCTTAGGACATATTTATAGAAATCCTAATCGCATCAATGAGAAAACTTTGATGGCAAGGCATTTACCACTTACACTTCTTGCCCTTGACGTTTAGAATATTTTTCATTTTCCCCTAGCTTCCAGGATAGGCTCATTAACGATACAAGCACAGCAAACATTTCGCTGCCCCCAGCATCCTCACTGTTATAAGCCTTAGCAAATTTTCTCACCTTTTCTAACTTCATTATAAAATCGTGTGCGTTCGCTATCCGCGCTGCTTCTTTAATGTCCAACTCATTAATACAACGACCAAGTTCAATATTTTCCCTAATCGTACCATTGAACAGACAGGGCTCTTGTTGTACGATTCCAATCATCTGAAATCAAAGTTTTGCTCGATTCGAGGAAGCATCCTGTCATCCTCTGTCATTATTGACACCAACTCGTACTTTCGTCTAATGTAAACGGTGTTCTTTGGCATCTCATGAAATAACGCCGCCATATGAGCATAACATCCATTTACATGATCAGACTCGGAGGTGTGTGTACTCCAACAGAGATTAGTGCCTATTTGACTATAGTTAGGTTATCTGTCTGCTGTCTTCAGTGCTTAAATCATGAAGCTCAAAGTGGATGTACCTGACGCTCAAAAATTACTGTATCTACATTTTCATGCTAACGAACTGGCCAACAAAAGAGTACGATATGATTTCCCCGAGTTGTAATATAAAGAAATGGATGAAAAATGTGTAATGTTCGTTCGAACTCCGCTTTTTTCGAGCTACTATAAAAACACATGGAATTAGGATGGGTCGACGTTATAAATAATAATCGATGCAGCTTCCCTTCTTTTCAACAATTATGCTTCTAAACTAATTCCTCTTGCGGTCACTAAAAAAATAGTCATGGTTGGATCAAAATCAATCGGCGAATTTCCAATAACTTATCAATTCTCAAATTTGTTCAAATCTTTGGTGGTGCATTAACACTCGAATAGAGAAAAAGTACAATGCACTGCATTTCTTGGCATCTATTTGCATCATAATCCATAAATTATCACTTTGAACCTCCCAAGTACCGTGTTAGGACCACTCAAACCTCATAGATCAACCACCGAGCAGCTTGGGTGCATTCCTCAAAATTCGTCTCAAGCTCGCACAGTAGATTCGCCCACAAAACGGTGTACCGCGAAAAAATGAGTACTGTTGCGGTAAACCCGCTTTTGCTGCGACTTTCGGGCTGATCGCGATACTTAAAATAAGGTGGGCGAAATTCATAACACTCTCGCTACATCCGATTTACTCGCGATTCCAAATGTACGCAGCAGAATCAAGCGTGGCAGATCGCGCGATTTGAACTGCGCTCATTTTTTGGCGTCGTCTTCCTCGCTCTTCAGTTGCATTTAATTTAATTGCTTTCTTCGCGTTTTTTTATATTTGTGTGCGTACTGTAATCGTTTTTTTCATACTGCATCTTGCTTTCCAAGCTTTGCTACAAACTTTTCTGCTGTTGAATTTCTAGCACGATGCACACGGATTGAGCCACGCCACCACCTAGCCGGTTCAGTGAGTCAAGGATCACTACTCAAGGAACTTTCACCCCCGCCTTTGAAGAACAACTAAGCCTCGTTGCGGTCGCGTGAGTTCATATTTCTTACGGATCATTCTTTGACTTTCAAGCAAACAAGCATCAGTTTGATTTGAGCCTAGTCTGTTTCGAATTAGGCCAAGAACTTTGAAAATTTTTGGTTTTTTTTTTCTGACAGTCCCATCTTTCTCAGATTTAAGTGTATATCTCCCTTTCTAATTGGTCCTCGTGATTTCCAGCTAGTCTTTCTTCATCTTGGTTAACACGTAATGTAACAAGCCCCTTTCCATGCTCGTTTCTTCTTTATCATGTGAATTTCTCATGTTTTTGAGGAAGGAATCGTATGGAAAGAGTATACTATTGGCAAATTTTATTGGCATTGATCAAATATCACGCAACAATCTGGCGATAATAAGGATATTGTATTTATGTAGCCAGAAAGTTGAAGAAAGCTTTCGTTATCAGTTACGTGGGCTTTCAAAAGTGCAGTTTTTGTTTTTGAGTCATTGCATCAAATTGATCCATGGTCGTAGTAGCCTTTCCAAATGGAACTGGTACTGCTTTATAGAGCATCGAACGCTGATTCCAAATCTGTTTTACTATCTGCCAAGCACTACTAGACTTAAGTTATAAACGTATTTCGGTTAAAAAATCAAATACGTAGTTAGAACAAAATTGCTCAAATTGTCCAATGTTGATTACCAAGGCACTTCAATCAAAGAATACCTTTTGTTTGAAGCACACTTACTTAACACTGCTCTACATGAGCGGTAAAATGACCGCAACATTTGATTTTACCTAAAATATGTAGGGTATTTGAGACTTTCTGGCCTCAAGCACTTCAATTGCGAACCCTAACTCAAATTTAGCTATATGTGTTCGCCAAATCTACAAACCACTGAATCAACAAAAAAATGTTTTGCTTTGAGATGCTTTAAAAAATTTGAAAGTAAACAATTACTTCAGCTTATTAAAAGAGGCGGGAGAGTGCTTTTGTTCTACTTTTTTCAACGCCGGAAAACGGTAACAACTTGCCGTTTTTATCATATGAAATCCCAAGTCTACACTTCCTTTATATAACAAAAGTTCTCCAGCAGCCGTGAACAAGGAATATATCATGACGCTAATTTACAATACACAGTCGTGCAAGCTTGCCCTGGAATTTTTTTAGTTCAAAAATCCTTGGAAGTCTTGAGTCAGCGTGTATCTGTAGCACAATTCTCTAACTTTCATTATGTTCGTCTTCAAAAATTTTGCACCTTGTGAAAGTTTTGAAGGCAGAATATAAAAAATTGGAGGTGGATTTATTGAAGAGAATATTATGAATGTTGTGAATGTATTAGTGAAGGCTGCTAAGTGGAAATGAGTTGATAAAATAACCTGATTTCCATTATGATCTGTTTATGTAAATAAGTAGGCTATAAATAGCAGCCTTTTCGTAGAGACGTTCAGTTTTACTGCTTGTCGCTGGAAGGCAGATAAAGAGTCTCCGCCGAAGCTGTTCACGAACACAACAATGAAACTGGATGTCTTGATTTCAAGATACGGTATTTTGAAATGAACTTAATTCTGAGAGAACAAAAGTAGTTGCAGTTGTAGCGGTGGAATCCGGCCAAAATTGCGGGATTTGAGGGATTTAGTTATAACTAGCTGGAATTCCCAGCCCTACCCGGACGTTGTCTCAGTTAACATATAGTGCGTTGCAAACTTGGAGCAGGCTCACCTGCTACAGCTTTGTGCCGCAGCATTCCTTACTACGAAGTGAGAACGAAACCTTCCGCCAATGTTTACGCTCAAGTGTTTGATAGCAAATGAAAAAAAATTCATTCTCTTGCAAAGTGCTAAAAATCAATAAATCAATAGGGTGGCCAAGCAAATCGCCGCAAAATAGCCTATCATCTGCGCAGGGGTCAACATATGTGTGTAAAGTTTCAACTGATTCGGTTCATGGCGCGCGTTTCTATAACGCACAAACCCTCCAAACTGACAATTTTTGAGTTTTATTAATATGGAGATTTCTTCTAAAACAACCCTATTTAAAATCTGCAAGAACATTTGGCTTCAGCTTCATGAGACGATTCTTTTAGTACCAGTGCGTCACCTCTGCTTCGCAGAGGCTCGCACTGACTCAACTATCCACATGCCTTCTTCGTAGTTGCAAAATGTTGGCTTTGAAACTTACCGCGCGATGTCGATCATCACGAATGAAATGTAAACAGCTACCTATTTCAAAAGCTTTTTCATGTAAGATCGGTGACTTTGAGGGAAAAAGTATTCTTTTAGAGATAAAATGCGATTCTGAATTAGTTAATGGAGTTGTAATGGCTTGGTAGTCACCATAAGGATGATGATAACCGTGAATTACGTCTCTGAGCAAAAAATTCCTCACGTTCTCAAATAAAACCTTGACAAACCGACCACCGACCATCTACGCAATCATTCCTTTTTGGCGCCAATCTTGCGTAAAATAGACTTTTTGCTCACTTTTCGGGCTGGAGTCCATGGTTACTAGTTTACTTGCTAAACAAATCCACGACTTTAGAAAAAGTCCAATTACGGGTCCACTTTGGTGCGCGAAAGGTCGCGTGGATCCGTTTGGCGCACAATTTCACGGGTTCCAATTATTGGATCGGCTTATGCTTTGGCATATTTTACCTACATGCTAATAGACTGCTATCGTTAGCTCGCTTTCGCTAGAGTGGGCGGAGCACTGTCTACGTACACGCGCGGCGGCTTTTGATGGCGAGAGAGTACAAAAAACAATGCTCTGGGATGGAGGTTTATCGATCGATTACAAGTCAAGTCATGTCTGCAGTGGTCCGCCCACTCTAGCGAAAGCGAACTAACGATACTACCAAAATTCTAGCTCAAGAACTTCGCTGGAACTCGCTCTACGAATTTCGTGACAGGCTGAGATTCACACACACACACAAATGTAAACAACCCTTAGCCCGTTATTATAAGTTACTAGTTGGCTTCCCCGGTCCAGCCCGGGGTATTTTTCACAGATGAGGTAGATGGTGCGGTTGCCAGCAAAACTACCGCACTGCAACCCTCCCCCCCCCCACGTTTTTTCATATGAATGACTTACCTTGCGGCGCCCATTTCGGTTCACTGCATCCTCGTGCTCCTGGGGTGGAAATGAAATTCACCGCTCTCCTTTACATGACAATGAGAAAATGCTTGGTCAAACATGATAAGCCTTCCATTCCTTAGAAAAACGTAACAAATCAATAAATGGATAGAAGGACCCAACGAATCGCCGCAAAAAGTAGCCTATCACCTGCGCAGGGGTCGAAAACGTATGTGCGCAAAGTTTCAGCTGAATCGGTTGAGCGGCGCGCGTTTCTATAACGCACATAGCCTCCAAACTCACAATTTTGAGTTATATATTTATAGATGATAGCATTATGTGCCCGTAGTTCATGGTGAACGGTATGGCACATATGATATTTGTTATTTTCAAGATGTGTTCATATGAGCAACAATACATGTTGATAATTTCATAACACATGCCAATACAATACACTGCACCATGGAAAATGGACATAATGTATACTAAAAGATTCGTTTCATCGAGCTGCAGCCAAATTTTCTTGCAAATTCCAAATAAAGTTGCCTTAGAAAAACTTCTAACTAAATCCCGCAAGTCCCGCAAATCCCGCAAATCCCGCAATTTTGGCCGGAATCCACCGCTACAACTGTATGTAAGGAACTAGAAAAAAGGGCTTCCAGACATTGTACAAAGCTTTCTGTAAAATATGCTTTCTTTTTGTAACAAGCATTCCAAGGAAGAAGGCGTGGAAAGCTATATTAGTTATGTTTTAATCTAAAACATGGAAGAAACCACAAAAAAACTGATTTTTACTGCAATGATGGTCTCTAAAGTTGGTGAGCACAATAAAACAAAAACCGCGTGAAAATCTCGATTGGTATCTTATGCCAGAGACTTTCCAAACACCCTGTACGTCAGTTTTTCGCACCAAAAAATCATTCATAATCGGCATGCAGAAGCGCTTGGCAGATAATGGAATCAGATTTCTAATCAGCGTTTAATGCTTTTAAAAGTGGTTTAGGACTCACTTGGAAAGCCACTTTGACTAGACGGACCTTTCTTGAGAGTTGCAAGTTCTATGATTTCTGGGATAGTTTTGCCAAGAAAATGTCGGAAAATGTGCAATGGATTAGCATATTCAAAGTTACTTGCTGCATTACTGACACTGGATTAGCTTTTGCTGATCCAGAAGGCTTTATCATTCAGAAGGCGTAGATATTTTTTCAGGCTTGATATTGTAAAGAACATATTGTCGAGTCAATCGCGATTCAATCTGAACCTGCACCTTACGCTCGACAAACAACACCCTTACTCGTAAACCGCAGTAGACCATTTTCATCATCACAAACTTCAATGCGGTCTGCTAACTATTAGTAATCCATTCTCGCACAGGAACAAAAATATGGGTTTTTGCAAGTGTATCAAACGGGCCAAGGTTCAGAGACACAAAGATAAAATAAAAGAATTGAGTAGGTCCAATCTCATAAGCCGTCGAGTAGCCCGCATGGTGCAATAAGCATATAAGTTGCAAATGACTCGAAGATCAAGGAATTGAACAAGCACCCTTTTTTGCGGTAGCAAACAATTTGAAACTTTTTGGCCAAAAGGGGCTGTGCTTTTACTACTCTTCAAAAATATATATAGGGTGTCCAAAAATGTGCCTACTGTTTGATTGTTGAGATAATAACTTTCTTGACGGAAGCCTGTGATAAGATTCAAAGGCAGCAGCTCGCCAAAACCGAACATCCCGAAAGTTTGACATGGAGGGTTGCTTGCACCCCAAACATGAGAACAGAGCAGGTCCGAGCGCACAGCATGCTGCCCTTGCCTAGAAAACCCCGTTATGCACAAGCCATTCTAATACGCGCGGAAGAACTTGTGGTTCTCCCTGACCCGTCAGAGAAGGGCCGAAATGTTATAACTGCGAGGTCTCGCAACATGCCTCTCTAACCATGGTGGGACGTGGTCCACCCGTCCAAATTCAAAATGGGATGCCTTGGGAAATGGTGCTTTTTGCCCTTTTCGCGCTTTTCAAGGTGGATTTTCGGAATCAACGCCTCGAATTACTCCAGGTAAGCAGAAAAACTTCAAGTCGAGTTTCTGCCGAGCCGCTGCCTTTAAGTAAAATTTTTTCGTAGAGCTGGCTTCAACTTAGGTTTACAGTACGATCGAATCAACGCTTTTCACTACTGTAGAATTACGTTAGGAACATTGAAAAAGGTTTGGAGCCATGGAGAGACAGAAAACAAAGCGACCTAAAAACTCTTACAATAAGCTAACTAGGGGTGTTGTTTCTGATTAAGAAGTTTGCACCTCATCATAATCTTTCGTTAAAAAGTTATGCCAAGTAAGCAGGGCAGCTGTTATTTTAATGCTCTGAAAATGTGTTAACCGTTTAGAAAGCTTCACAATAATATTCAAAGTTGAGTATCATTCTCAGTGTCCAAGACCCTATCACACTAGGTTTCAAATTTTTTCAGGTTATGTGAAACGGCAGCTTTTTACAATGACGCCTATGCTATTTCTTACCGTAATCCTACAATAGTGAAGAGCGATCCGCTCTATGCTGTATGCCTAAGTTGCAGCCAGCTCTACAGAATAGTACCTGAAGCTTATCGAAAGGCTTTATAACGAGAAAGTTGATAACAATCAAACAGTAGGCACATTTTTGGGACACTCTGTATATCTATATGCACATAAATCTTTAATTTAGGGGAGATGCGCGCTCAGTGTGCGCTAAGTCTAAGTCCGAAAGGAAAACTTATTCCACCTACGGTGACAGACATCTACTAAGACACTGGGAGCGAACAAGCAGCGGCCCTTTTCCGGCTACAATTTCGCAGCTCCCGCGGCCCGACCGGAGAGTGGGCCTCGGCTCAGTCGCAGCTGGTTGTCGAGCCGTCTGTAGGTCATTCTAGCTCGGCCTAATTGGGCCTTGGCCCACCATTTATGGGGCTCCCCTTTCTCATTAAATCCTAAAAAATTTGATTGCCTAAGCCGGACACAGATACACGGTATAACTGTCTTTAATTCACTGGCACATAAGAGAATACACAGTAAAAAAACTAAAATTGAAGCCAGCGATATAGCAGCTGCGGAAACCAAGTCCTTCAAAATTGGATGACGCCAGATGTTATTCAAGTTTGTTTAAAAGACAACTTATTGATCTTGTTCTTGCCTAAAAAGAAACACAGCCAAGGCAATGGACATCGAGGGCAGCCTAACCATACATCGTACATCACGCAAGTATTCTTTACGCTAAGACACTAAGAGCGGCCGAGCAGAGGCCTTTGACATAGGGAATTTTTAACACGGATTTTGGTCCACGGCTCAGCCGCTGCACGCTCCGCCCCATCATTGAGGACCGCGGTTGAGCCGTTGAGGCCATTTTCTCCCGCGGCTCGGCCGGTGCGATGATGACGACATAAACGAAGGGCCGCGGGTCGGCCGCATCCCGGTCAAGCCCCTAAATTAAGGCCGCGAGCAGGCCAAAAAGGCCTTTTAGGGCCGTGGCTCGTCCGCTTCTAGTGTCTATGTATATGCACATCAGCTCCAAAATGACACCCTTATTTTAGAAAAAACGCACTTGCGCATTTGAAAATCAATATCTCTTCACCTTTTCACTTATTATGATTGAACATCTTTTTCTCATTATCACCACGCTTACTAGAAGAAATGCAGTAATTCCATAGCTTTACTCTTGTGCTCATGCGTTTAATTTTGTTGGAGTTCTACTACATGAAGAACTGAAGTCACCTAATTCACACTGTGTACAAATTTTGTAAAAAGTTCTCAATAAACATCCATTTGAATAGTGGTAAGTACATATAAACTCGAAAACATGGGTTTGAAGCGCACTCCAAAAATACTCAGAGAACAGTGATGAGCGCAAGTCACGCTGTATTTGATCACAACATCACTGGGTCTCGCGCTGAAGCTCAGATTTTCTCCCGGTCTGCATGAATGCGTTAGAATAACTTGTCTCGGGCAGTAATCTCCCGATCAAAACGCCGGTGTGCGGAATTCCTCGTGACAGATTTGATTAAGTCCTGCAGTCAGTCTCTTGCTACATGATTTTTCTATGCAGTTAACCACGAATGTCTGAGTCAGCTTTTGCTCCTTCCAATTTTTGTCTCAGAAGTGAAGACTTTGAGGGTAACATAATTATAAATTTTAACGCACCTCAGGCTCGGAACTTTGAGATCTGATACTTTGAGAACGTGCAAGCTCATTTGCATTGTAAAACCAATGTTTAGTAATCGATTTTCAAAAGTTTTGAACAGGGCTCGGCACGAGCTGGTACCACGGAAATTTCAGACGAAGTCCTCTTTGATCTTGATTTCAAGCAAAACTACTACGTAGTCTCCTTTGATCTTGAAATTCGGAAAGTACGGAGTAAGTACGGAGTACGAAAGTACGGAGTAGAAAAGTACGGAGTTCCCTTCAACCCCAAATCATAAACGTAAGAAATGCAAAAAAAACGAAACGTCGACTGAAAAGACGTCGCAATTGTGCCTTTTCGGGCCACAAATACGATATTTTCTTTGCTTTTTGTCCCAAAAACGATATCCAGCTTGACTCGGTACCAGCAGTCCGAGCTCTGGTTTCGAGCTAAAGATTTATTGGTGTTCGAAGCGTTAGTCTATTTCATTGCACTGCGAAAGTGAACACCTTTGAAAGGTATCGTGGAGGAAATGTAGAGCCAGATGCCAGTGAGGAAGCTTTAGAAAAACATTGCATTGCTCTTTTTATGCTCTCTTTGACTGCTATCAAACCTCTTCCAAAAGTGCAAAGTGGAAATTTCGAAAAATTGTGACTGAACATGATAAGAACCATGAGCTCGAAATTTGGGCAATAAAGCCAGCCAGAAGCAATTTTTCAGGATTGCGATTGCAAAAAAGGAAGGAAACCTGCGGGAAATTGTGTTTGAACCGTTGCCTACCTTTGATCTATATTTTGAGGGAAAAGGTCGAGAAAGGCAAAAGAATTTTCGGCCAGACATACAGGGCTTATCAATGTCTGCCATGACGGGTGTACCGGCATCTCCACTCCCGCGCGGGACTCTGCATCTCTCCTATGAGCATGCTCTCTAATCATATCCAGTCGATAAAGCTCCGCCTTTCCCACGCTTGCGGTGGGAAAATGACCAGAGAGCATGCGCTAAAGAGGTGCAGAGTCCAGGCGAAGCGGCCGCGGGAGCGGAGATGCTAGTGTTCTGGACACTGCAATTAATAAGCCCTGTAATTCAGAGATAACATGTAAGCACCTTTCTCAAGCTAGTCCGTTTAATGGTTTGAATATCTCGCCCATCTAAAAACACAGAATCGCTGGCACAATCATAAAGCCTGGTAAGGATTCCAATCTGAAATGATCATGTTGGATAACTGACACCAGAAACTAAATTCTTACAGAAGTACTCTTCCCACAACCACTTTTTCCCACGAATGCTATAGTTTCACCAGGTTCAGCGTGCCAGCTAAGTCCTCGGAGGATCTCCGACTCTCTTTACGTTATATTAGAAAGACACAAAAGCACGACTATAGAGCACTTACCTCGACGGGTATTTAAAATGGATGTTTCTGAATTCTAGACGTCCCTCACATTCTGTTATGTTTTGCCCGTCTTCGTGCTCGTTCTCTATTCCCTGCAACGCTATTAAAGTGCGCCACATAGCAGAAAAGACTATGTGGAATTCAACCACCCATACTTTGTCGATAATCTCGTAAATAATGCCTGCAGCGATCCTAGCTTTTGTAATAGCTAACATATGAGGTCCCATTAAACTAAACAGGTAAGAGCCTGAAATAGCAAATGCTTCACGCTCACAAATTAGTCTTTGGAGTTGTGATGCTACCATGTTATTTCTATTTGTTATTTGATTCTGAAATTCTGATTTCCAAAACAATATATCTTTGGAAGTCCTTGAATCTGTCATACCTAACATGACAGCTCCTGTTGCAATAAAGATTGTTCCCGGATTAGAGATGATACCATTGTAGTAACTGATAATGCCATATCTGGAACAGTATGACATTTATGTAGGCCTGGAATTTAGCGATTCTATTAGCTGTTTGTGGAGAATGGTATACTCGCGAAAACATATGAAGGAATAGATTTTAAAAAACTTACAAATAGCCACCAGCATAGAAGAGGTACAATTGCAGGTATGTAAGTCCTTCAAAAAATCCTGCAACGAAGCTGCACTTCAAAGCATGTGGCAATATCTCTTTTCTTTTCTTCTTGTACTTCTAAAAGCTGGCCAACCTCAAGGCACTGTATATATATCACCGGAGCTGTACTACCTTCACCATTTGATCTTGTCCGTTACATGCTGCTACAGTTTTTGAGTTCATTATTGCTTCTTCAGCAATACTTCCAGCCTCGGCAGAAACTTCCATCATTTTGTTCATTGCAGAGGTTGATAACTGAAAATTCCAAGTTAGGTCTTTCAGAGGTTCCGTCAGTTTTCACTTTTCATCCCAAAAGACTCATGTTTCGTGACGTCTTAAAAACTCTGGGCCAACTTTCTAACAAAAAAGCAGGCTCTACAAAGTGGCGCCCACACAGCTGCACAGACATCCTTCTATTATGAGTTAGAATTCAAATCCAAAACATTTAGAAACCCGAAAACCCTAAAAGAATTCGGAATTCTGTTTAGAAAATTCTTGGGAATTTCTCACTTGTTCAAGCATGCACTCTTCATCTGGTATTTTTATATTCATTTGTTTTATTATTCCCCGTGCTAATTGTGAAAGGAAAGAAGTAGGGCGAAAACACAAAGGTGTTGCTTTTTACGCTTATTTCTCAGAAAGTAACGCTCGTAGAAAGCTGAAAATTTGTGATTATACTTCCAAAGGCTTATGCTAAAAAACTACTTATGTTGAAGCAGCTTCGCATCGCTGAAAAAATATGCCAAATTTCTTTCACTCGGATCCCAGCAAAGCAAAAAATAAATACAAGCAAGCACACTAATGTTAAATGAGAAGTCTATATGTGTGAAGAAGGTAGAGCGTAGAAATCTTTCAAGACTGTTTTTATCATATTTTTTCCTTTTGAATTTTGATTTCCGACTCAGTGTGGAACTACCCTAATTTCACGCGTATAAGGCGCACTTTATCGAATTTTTAGGCGAGCCGCTCAGCCGCTTCACTGTACTCCGGAAAGAAATCCTTACATCGCACGATTCTCTCGAGCAGCATGCAGCACGTTATAGGGTCCTTTGGTTGTAAAGTCCTCTGGCATGTCTGGGCTGGTCGATTTTGGAAAAAAATCCCCTGCGCCTTATACGTGTGAAATTAGGGTAACTTTGCGCAAATGCTTGAAGCCACTGCGTACAACTTGCTTTGTTCTATCGAAAGTTACCAAAGCGCTTTTGATGATCAAGAAAAATGCGAGTTACAGGAACGAAAACTGAGAACGGACACAGCTTAAGGAACAACCTGATACATCACAATGGCGCCTACATCTCATCAGCTATCCACTGTCATGGGACAAACAACACAAAATACACTTTTAATGGTCAATGTGATACAAAACCTCAGTAAAATCAAAAGGATTGAACTCCTCGTTATAGAAATCAAGACTATACTTAAAAGTTTCCATGACCTCTTTGCAATGTGATGCACGCATCCTGGCACATCATCGCTTGTTATAAGGATGAACGAAAGTTCTGTCGCGCGATCTTCAAAAAACGTAACTTCCAGTTATGATAAGGCGAAAAGATCCCCATTTAGACTAATACTCTTTTTACAAAAAATGCCTGGTTGAAGTTGCCATAGCGTCTTAGGAAAATTTGCATAGCAATTTAAGATTTCAAACACCTCACCCTCTATATAAAAGTATTAAGAAGGGCAGGTGCTGCAGAGGTTAGAGAGAGCGGAAAAGTTTTTTTTTTGAGAGGAAAAGGTGTCAGCACCTACGTGCCCCACCATGTCGAGATGCTGGCATCTTGCTGGCGGCATCTGTGAGTTTGCATGATTCGGCATATCACATTCTTCTGTATCAGCAATAAATCAAATACACAACCTCAAAATACCTTCTCCTTTGTAATGGTCGAAACTTTCACTTGCATCTTTTCTTTCTTTATTTGTTGTTTTGTACTCAAGCAAAATTTATCAAAATTGCTTGGTCTCGAACACGCGGCCGAAATTTTGCATCTCCCCCGAGATCTTGCCTTTGATTTTTGTGCCATCGTCGTGCATTTCGATCAGCTGTTTCTGCAAAGTCCGGAATCTACCATGATCCACATGACCCTTGATCATGCACATATGCCAGTAACACTTTCCTAGCTATTGGTGAATCCGCTACGGTAATTTGACCAATAGCGATTGGGACGAATTAGACGAACCGGTTGAACTGAGTAAGTCTTACGGCTACCTAATAATCACATCATCATTCACGATTTTCTCCGAGTGCAGCTGACAACTGGCTATTTTCAGATTAATTCGTAGTCACTTCCAACTTCCTTAAAAAGTAAAAAATCCTCACGTCCTCGTTGGAAACATAAAAATCTTTGAAAATCTTTCTACTAGTAAAGAGAGGTACACATTAATATAAGGTGCATTATGATAGGGATCTGTTGCCGGTGAAATTGCAGAATTTGAGGTCAGTCTTTTTTACGCTTACTCTTATCCTAGTTTGCACGTAATTAGCAGAAGACATTGGGAAGTGCTCCCCATTTTTTTGAGTTGAGGGACATTTTGAGGGACAGCTAGCTATACGATGTGACATGCGCGACGTGTTTAGTGGCGTTGTTATTCTAGGTAATGCACTCACCCATCCCATAATCATCATTGTTATTGTAGACACTGGACCCACGCCAATGGTAATAAGAGTGACCCGCCAGTTGAATATAAGAGCAATGACTGCGCTCGACAGAAACGTGCAAATTCCTCTCGAAAGCATTCCCATTTTATCACCTACGCCGTCCTCAATCTGCGTTATATTTCTAAAATTATACATAAAGCATGTCATGGTTTTTAATACTTTACTTACTCCGACAGTAATGTAGTAATCATTCCGGCGTTGTTCTTGTCAAACCAAACCGCATTTTGTCGCAAAACAGCCCTCACAAATTCTTTTCGTATACGTCGTACCATATTCTGACTAGCAGTTGAAAAGAGATAATGCTAAAAAAATCGTGCTCTGAGCACCATACTTTGAGCATCGGTTTAGCACATTACAAAACAAGGTTCACCTGAAACAAGCACGAAATGAATAAAATGATAGCCAGCGCCAAAAACCCTGCCGAAATGTACAAAGCATTGGCCAGCAGCGTTATATTATGAATATGCTGAAATTTCTTGATGCAAAGAAGAATCGAAAAATCAATATTTCTTGCTAATGACTGTGAGCTCAATTGTTACTTACATCTTTATTTGTAAGATAAATGTTAGGAAATAAGCCTTCTCCAATTGAAGTCAAAGGGAGCATACTCCCGGTGACCATGGATAATGTGAATCCAAGAGCCACGTAAAATTTGTCTCTTATGCTGGCATAGCGAAACTGCAAAGAAAATTGCTTCTCAGAATAGCAACTCAAATGTGAAACGTCACATAACATGTAGCGTTTTTCGTAGGAGAACACAATTACGAACATCCACGCAAATAAGCGCGATAAATGTTGATAACACACTAAAATCTTCCCTTAGGTCCGCATAAATTGCAAATTATATATCAATACTCACCAGCTCTGCAAACGAGACAGGTTCTCTTTTTGGTTCCTCTATGTGATCATTTCTAAAAGCAAATCGTATCACTTAAGACGGTGCGAAAAATGTTGTATATGGACAAATGTCTAAGTTTAAACTCTAGCAGTTCCGGAAAGCATTACTTGTCAATTCATTGGCTTCATACAATCGGTTTGAAAAGGCTCAGATTTGAATATGCAGAAGATATACTTTACTCAAGATTTTATACTGCAGAGTGTGATTAGTTAACATGCTTAGATACGTATTTCCCTCCCCATGGGAGCGAACTGATAACTGTGCAAGTAAGCTGAGTTTCTTATTGTTTCTTATGATCTCTGTGGATTCCTGTAGGATTAGGAGACAATCGCTCATTTTCTTGTCCAATTATCGTTCCACAAACTGCAAAAAAAACAGCTTAAATGTGCTCTTATATCACATTCGCATGCTTATGCCAGAAAGTAACTGATGCAAAAGGACAAAATAATCGAAGAACCTCTGAACGCAAGCCGAGATTATTTGAGAAAGCTTTCGTATGCATTTGATCTAAAGATAACATCCTTACAAAGGAAGCATGTTTAGTCAAAGTGACTTTCTCAGATGAGATGTATACCATGTAGAAGGGCACAAAACGCTGATTACAATTCTGCGGAACGTTTAAGCAAAAATTGAATGAAGGACAAAAAGTGTCGTTATACTTCTAGCTCTTCATTGGAACAGTGACAGTCATCAACGCAGTAATCAACAAGTACTCTGAGATTAAAAAAATAGAGCATACTTTGTGTTGAGGGCTAGTAAGATTATAGACACTCATCCTTTCCTAGGCACATACTTGATTTTTTGCGCCAAGAAAACCTCATATCTTCTCGTCCATAAACGTTCCGAAGGAGACAGAATTTGCATTTTGTGCTCTTCAATATGGTAACGCACATCTGAAAAGGCCTTTTCAACTAAACAAGCAACCCTTTTTAGCACTGCCGTAATAGATTCTCAGCGCAACTTCACGACCTATTGTGTTTGAAGTACGCTGAGGACCTACGGTACTCAATATACTCAATACGCTCCCGCCTCCTCAGCGAGAATGTGCGTAAATACAGGCCTTAGTGGGCATCTCCTTACTATAATGCAAATAAAATTTCAAACTAGAGCGTCAGAAAACCTTAAGCAAACTTGGTCTGATGAACGTCTTCATGTACAACACTTTGACTAAAATGTTGTTAATGGTGTGCGGCAGCCAGTCTCTCTCGTGCACTCGTGTGTGCAAATTACATCAGGAGGTTTTACTTTCTGACAAATTAACTGTTCAGAAATGTTATCTGTATATGTACCCGATAATTAATAAGGGGACGATACTTGTCGTGAGATGAGATGTATACCATTACAATCGTCTTGAAATGTCGATTCCGAGTTTGACTTTCGTTTCTGCTAATCCTTTCTCTGAAAGAAGTTATGAAGGATTTTCGCGCCATCTTTGGCCGCCCGAGGGAAATACGGTCGAAAAGCCAACACTGCCGATACATTGTGCTCTCATAATTAGTGCGATAGCTTCACGAGTTGATGCAGGTATAAGATTCAATCCTTTTGTGTTTTTCAGTCTGCCTCAATTAACCTTTTTTTTTGAAGACATCCTGAGGTAAAAACATCTCTTTACTTTTTGAAAACTCAAAAAGGAGTCATTTTTATACGTTTCCTGTGTTTGATCTGAAAGAAAAAAAAAATGAAAATGAATGGAAAATGCATGTTGCACGCAGTGATGGAAATCTAGGACAATCCATGTTTTGTTCAAACACTTTACTCGAATTATGATCGATGAGGACATTTTAGCGCATAGTAATCATTTTTTTTCCATTTTTCTACATTGAGTAAGGGCATGCAATTATTTCGAGGATGCTTGACCTTCAAAAAAAGCTTAATTGAGGCAATGCAAAACTGAAAACACAAAAGGATTCGAACCTACATCTGCGTCAACTGTGGGGCTACACAGCACCGGCGGAGTTCGCGTATCATTGCGGCCAAACTGGCACGAATTTCTCCTAACTTTTTCCAGAGAAAGGATTACCAAAAATGGAATTCAGATATGGAATCAGCGTTCGAAAACGAATGTAAGAGTATATATCTCATCTCAAAAAAACCACAAACACCGAGTATCCTTTATAGGATTCGAACCACGCTTCATTCGCCCAGGCTAACGATTCGGTACCGTCATTTTCGCCCAAGCCTGGAAAGTCGTACACATTAGTGGTTCGGTCTTCGGAACACCTCATTCAAGCCAAAGCACTCTCAGCACTAAGTTAGTCCGAAAGCCATGACAGAAACCGTTACTAATGCTCACCATTGCTCTTCGGCTTGGAGTTGAGCCATTACCAAACACAGCGTCCTATCAGTAGTAGCAGAGACCAGCACAAGTGATACAGATAAATTCCGACATCGTTGTAAATGAAATTCGCAACGGGACTGATATGAAATTGGACCATGTGCACGTCGCCCTCTTTCTTGCGGTTCATTGCAGGAGCTTTAGATGTTCCAGAATCCTTCTAGCCTTTTACGAGGAATTACTTCGGGTTCACGCGTTAGGATGTGACAGCTATCTCAAATTGTCGATCCAAGTGATACTCTCTGCAATATGCGCCTAGAAGAGTGTTCGATTCAGATTTTGCAAGACTATCTAGGTGTTCCTGGATTCTCACACGCAGAGGCCTGCAGTCTTCTCTGAGATAAATCGAAACCATAAAATAACTTGTCAAACTTGCGGGAAGCAGTACAGAGAAGAGACTGGCAGACCTCTGTATCTAAGAATCTAGAAGCACCACAGTCGTACAAAATATGAATCCAAACTTCTCCACAAGCGTTTACCGCAGAGAGAATCGCTCGGATCAACAATTCAATGTAGTTGACAATCTTAAAGGCAGCGCAGGCAAATCTGTACCTATGGGGATTTCATGTGGAAAGTAATTTTGGGATCCTAGCTAAGGCACGGTCCAAACGGAAGCGCAAATGACTCACTAACGGCTGAGATATACACTTCCAAATTGGACCCCAGGACCCGTTGTAATCCACCCTACCTGCCGGCATCTCATGCCCTCAGCTCGCCCTGACATGGTCTTAAGGTCCCTAGAATCTCAACTGCCTCCGGAGACCCCCAAGCCAAGCTGACCATATATTTTTTGTGTTACGGTCTAGTTTTGCTGTCGAAATAGTATGGGAGTTGAAAGGAAATCCAAAAATGTCTTCGTTTGCCTATTTGGCTCGAAGTGTGAACCTGCCGGCAGGTTCACGATCTATTGTCGACTCCACAACTTTGGCGAGGCGGGACCATGATCTTCACCAAAAATCGATGGATCAGGTATGCTTCAGCACAGGGCAACCGCAACGCAAGGCACGCTAGCGCAGCTCCGCCTCGCCAAAGTTGTGGAGCCGCTCATATTTTCGTCGAAATTTGAGATGCCGACCTGCCGGCAGGTCAGAGAGTGCACGAAATAGAGTGTCTTTGGTGGAGTGCGACCTGCCGGCATCTCGACGTGCCCCTACCACGTCCAGATGCCGGCACCTTTGCCGAGGGCGTCTGTGGAATTGCGTTGCGCCGCAATATCACACAAATCAGGTCCAGGAAAAGAATCAAAAAAATCTACTTTTTCACCAAAAAACTATTATGTTTGACATTATATGAATTTTTCTCATCCAAATTGATGATATGCACGCACGAAAGAAGTTTAGTGATATTGTGAAACCATAAAGAACGCCATTTTCATTGCAATCGCTTTAAATCTCGTTTGCAACGATTTCGCCTCTAGCTCGCTCTTATAAATCAACTGTTTTTTTTTCAGGTCAGCGTCTATTACGCATTGTATTGATCATGGTCTCATACAGGCACTTAGCGTTTATATCATTGGTGCCGCAGACCACAAAAACTGAACGAATGGTCGAATGGTTGGTGCGGCGGCGCTTGAGGTTGACGCATGCAGGTTCGAACGCGCGCGATGCAACCGTTTTGTGGCTTATGACTGCGGAGTAAGGGTATTTGAGATTATCAGAACCTATGAATGATCAAGGCGAATAAGACGAGAAGCTCGAGAAACAAAAAAAGAAAAAAACTAATCAAAAAACGAGAATCTAAAGCAAGATTTTGCTTGAGCCCGAAACACGAACATGCCGCGAGGTTCGTGAACTTGCCCCCATGTTTGATGCCAACATGCAGGAGGATTACTACGGGCCCAGGATCGTATTATCGGACGACTTGCATCGTGTCTGAACGCTTTCGCGCGACGACTCACGCAAAACTGATGTGTCGAGCCATGAATCCATGTCTCAGCCGTTAGAACACCATCTGAGTCCGGTTGCGAATGTCTCAGTTAGAGTCCTAAAATTATTGTCCACGTCAGATTTCCATATGTCCAAATTTGCCTGACGCTGCCTTTAATGCAGAGCGAAATTCTTTTTTTTTGAATCTTTATCCTTGCGTGTGTCCCGCTTATGCGGTCTTTAATTTTTTTGTTAACGTCTCCATGTTTTTGTCTTCAAGGCAAGGTCTTTGTCTATTCCAAGTTCCCGCAGTTTGACCATCTTGGGCATACCTCTGGTCTTTTGCCTGGTGATTCCACCGTTAGAGTAAACTGTATGATGTGACTTTCCTCACTTCTGCAACCATGCACTTCCTACATTTTCTAAGCAATGAGAGCTACTTTCAGTTGGGCTCGTATAATGTCATTGCAGATGTGATCTTTTAATGTGATAAAATCATCGTAGCATCTTTGTTTCCGTGACAATAAGCTGGCGGGGGTGTACGACAACAGAACCAACGACGAACCCAATTTCTTGTACCCCAAAGACTCCCCGTGCAAGAACTCTTCGGCGGCAAGAACAGGAAATTGAAGTAAACGCCGACACATAACTCGATGCCATTGAAAAATGACGCATAGATGTGAGTTGCGGTCTTTACGCTCCCCGCTTTTTGCAAGTTTTCTCGCCTAACGCTTGCACTCCTTGTTCAGTACTCATTGCCGTATAGTGGTGCTGGACGGATAACGGTAAAGTACAGTTGGGATTTATGTTGCA